TAATACCAGATACTTAACTAGTAAAATAATATATATTTATAATATATGTACATATAGTTGTTGATTTCCTAATGTTTGATGTTTAAGTTTAAGCTAATAAACTTTCATTATATTTCCATGAGCTATAAATTTGATAAAAGGTATAGTTCTTGTGTTTTCAACCTTGTAAATAGTTTTAATTGGTCACAGTGCTGTGGTACGTTGTCAAATGGCTTGAGTATAGTCGATCGATCATACATTGGCCTACAATTATATTTTGTAAAAGACCTCTTCACACTTCACAAATTGCAAGATTTATATTTCTATTTAAGGGGTGTGCGATAGACTTACCTCCACGTGGTGCACCCTGGGCAACGTATATTCATGCGGCAAAAAAGTCTATTAACTGGCAGTTGATTTCTCACTTCAAACTACCAACACCTCACTCTATGCCATATTCGACTATTTCACAGTACTCACCTCACCTTTTTTCTACCTTTGTGTTTGTCTCTTATATCTTTGAAACGCTCTTCTGTTCCCCTTTCTCGACTTTTTTCAATTTGATGTTCCTTCCCCTCTATGAAGCTTGAAGTCAACTAAAGGGCTAATGGTAACCATCAAGACGCCTGCCATTTGATATAAATAAATAAATATTTTCATTTAACTAAGTTTTTCTTATCGCGATTATTCTCCCTTTTTATCCTTTTTTTGCGAATTAATATATCATCATTGAAGTTGAAATAATATCAGTAGACTCTCAAAGGAAAGAAAATTTGGCAACTCAATGCCATTTCGCAATTTGAATAATCACTCATAAATTGAATTATTCCAATTTATTTCGATAGTTAACTAAGTTATGTGCTCAAACCCGATTTTGAATATTGCCTGTTCACCGGTTTAAGTAATGCATACAACTTGGCTAAATTTCGGATTATGTAACAAAGTGGAACTCGTTATTTCTTATTCAGTAAACACTCCACCATCTGATACTCATCACGCGCATAGGCAGGACCTGAATTTTGATACTTAAACGTGTTGTAGTTAACACTTGGTAAAAATAAGCAAATGAAGGTAGAAATTGCGATTAATCTCTTAACGCTGCTACACACATTTCTAGGGTTGGAAAAATCATCGCACAACATGGGCAGCCCAAAAGAAGCATTCAAACGAGCTAACTCACAGACATGGATATGTCGACGGCTTTCTAATTCCCTCCTCGCACGGTCAAAGAGTTGAATCTGTGTATTTGGCACCAGTCCCAAGGTTTGATTTACCTGCTCTCGCATTCTACATTCTTTCGCAGCTTCACAAAGCTTCACCTCAAAATCCGGCGATAACTTTTCGTTCTGGCTATATAGAGTGATTTCACTTCCATGACGCTCCACTTCCACACTGCATACGTCACTGTCTTCACAATGCTGCTCGGAAAGTTGAAACACTCGACAATCTTTGCTGTGTTCATCTTCTACGGCTATTTTACCACCTTGCCCACATTTTGTGATATGCGCTCCAGGAAGCGGTAGAAATAGGAATTCCAGTGATGCATTCAGTTGGAATGATGCGTAAAAGTCTCCAGTGATTTTAGAGATAAGTGTTTCCAACTTTTCCAAATTATTAGAAAGTGCAGTTAAATGCGTGAATTTGGGAAGAATTTCTTTATCGTTGAATATTAGGTCCTCGATAGTGTGATTTCCAAGAAATAGGAATGGTGTACGTCTAGTTGAAAATCTTTGCTTGATACTCCCATGTATTATTGAGGTCATCGATTTAGCAGTTCCACAAAGATTTCCATCGAGGTAGAGACTAAGAATCATCTTGTCCCAGTGAACTTTAACCTGATGCCATTGACCAGGGATAGCCCGCAGGTTCGATTCACATCTCTCGACTCTCCAGATATGGTTTGGCGGAGCTTGAATTTCTGCAGAGAGTTTCATAACACGTTCTGAGTCGGATAATTTCGTTGGATAACCATTGAAGGCGATTTTCATATACCAAGGAGAGTTTATGTAAGACGCATGCTTCATGACCAAAGTCGATCCATTAATTACTGCCAGTGGGTCTATATTCATCCAAAATTCATAAATTATTGCTAATAAAGAAAAGTCAGGGGTGAATATGCCGCGAAACATGACAAGAAAGAGGTAAAAGACCTTGCAGGCTTACGTTTGTCACAGAGGAATATGTTGGCAAAACAAGAATCCAATTTATTATATGTCCCTGAATCTTCATTAAGAAAGGCGGGTGATTGTGACAATCCACTTGTCAATTTTAACTTGGACTCATCATTTACATTTTCATGGGTAATTTCTGTTTTCAGTAGTCCTGAGCGCATTGTTCCAGTATCTAAAACAACACATTTATCGACAAAATTTTCATTCAAAGTTATTTAATCTTTTCGCGAGTTTTGTTACCATTCAATACTTGAATAAATTTAGTCATTAGTACATTTAAATTCAGGAAAAAAGGTGTGTATTATAATTACCCTGTCTCAATTCTTTAGATCTTATGGAACACACTTGCTATTTTTTAGCCGAGTGAAATAGCAATTTATTTACTGCATGACAAAAAGTAACAGGCGGATTTCGTGTGTTTTCGCATTCATTACCGCTCATTTTGCATTTCCTTATCGACTTCATTTCAGATGTTTTGTCGGTTGCTTTGTTATCAACAACCAAGTAATTGAAAGTCTTGTAAATTTACCAAATCTATCTTCATTAAAATTGCACATATCCATACGCCGTTGAATTATTGATTCTAACCAATCGTTTGATGTTAATAATTCATTTCGTTTCAATGTATAATTAATGGTGATACTTTAAAAGTAATTAATTTTTTCACTAAGTCTCTCTAAGTAGACACACATCACAGAACTCTGCCAACGCAACGATTTTAGCCACCTCTTCTCAGCTAACCCAATCACTTCATCTGACAATGTGAGAGTTAGATGATTGGTTGTCTTCTCGACCAATCAGTGGAATGAAATCGAAATGATGGGACAAGAACGACTCTTCTGAATGAAACAGAGCTTATTAGTAAGTACTAAACATCACGTTGAAGCGATTGCTGCCACCCAGTGGTGATTTGAATATTTGGAATGTGAATTGCCCATTTGGGAAATATTGTGCAAACCCGAGTTCAAATATTAAAATAAAGTTAATGACTCTTTGATACTACGATGTTGATCCCACTTTCTTTTCAATTCCCTCCCTTCTCTCATTGCATGAGGTTTTCTCTCGACCTATTGAAGTTGCTTACTAAGAATATATTTGAAATATTATTGCTAATTATTAATTATATAAAAAATATGTTAACTCATCGTTTAAAAGAAAGTATCCGTTCATGAGGTGACAAATGGATAATTTCATTTCCTTGTGCCAAATGTTGACGCCTCGACTATGGCAGCTTGTCAACCATTGTATCTCGATCCTTTGCAATACCACTTTGATGCTTTAATGTTCAACGAGTTCTAATGAATAGGCTTAATAACTCAAACTCCCACTTTTTAATTCAAACCCTATAACCAATGGCCTATGTGTATTTCCCAAATTTGTGATAAATGTCTGCACTTCATGACTGTCACTTCACTCTTGCACTTCTCATTACTTACAAATTGACATCCTTCCATTCATCTTTTCCATTGAATATGCATACAAATGACATTTCCCTAACATTTATAGCACATTTTAAAAAACTACAATCTCGTAGTGGTAGACATTCTATGCTTTTCAACCGGCTGCTAATGTGTCATCATGTTCGCGGCTTATACCACCTTTAGAACTCAAATAACCAAGTCATAATGGCGTCATCATACGATTGAATCTTCGTGTTCAATCACCGCTGAAACAGGACACAATAACACCGACGATATTATCTGTTTGCACGAATGATCCATCCCCCCCCCCTATTATGTCTTAAGTGAATAATGTAATAGGTGAGGTGGTAAATAGAACGGACAGTAAATAAAATTCCTAGACCTACCTTGAATTTTCATTGACGTGCATTGCTGCTCAAGTGGACAATAGCAAACCCGGTCGCAACCACAAGAAATTCCCGGAACTTTCGAACGACAGCTTCCTGGCAATTTTGACGAGAGGGGTGGAAGAGTGTTAATATCACAAGTTTTAGTTATTTTAACTCCTGTTCCCACTTGGATCATCTTTGGCCCAAAGTAATTCGTGACACCACAGGCGCAATCACTTGATAGTAGGAAAGATTTGACAATTCCTTGGAATGGCACAAATTTTTCCAATGAACTCTCGTAAACATCGGTTTTAGCATAGACGGTTCCAATTGCATCCATGTATTTCACCAGTATATCTATCGCATAGTGAGACATAGTTTCTCGGGATGGCGATCCAATGAAAGCTTCATTGAAGTAGAACCGTCTTTTACTTCCAACTTCGCTGGGTGCGAAGGATTTTAGCTTTGACCAGTCTGGCCAAAGTATATTACCAAGATTTAAAAACCCATTGTTGCTTTTCTGGTCGACTTTGAAAGTGAATTTTACACGGCTTTTACCGTGCTTCGATAAGACTATTTCTACCTTGTGCCAATCATTCCAACTTCGGTCGAAATAGCCAAATGTATGATGGAGGTAGAATCGCACCTGATAGTCTGTTAGTCGCATCACCATAAAACTGAAATACGGCCGTTCGATATAAATGAATAATGCCAGTGGATCTCCTTGAACTCCAAGAAAATTCGCTCCATCGGGAGCTAGATCTTCCGACCAATTGCTTGGAAGTAAGCTTCCACTTATTCCAGTGAACAGAACCGAAGAATTAGATACGGGAAAGACATCAAACTTAAGCGAAAAACTGCTTTGATTTTCTATCGAACAGGAGAGAGGTTGGGTGTCAATCTCCATAAATGCATTTGGGCCAGTGAAGTTGAACAATCCTGGGATTGAAAGACAATGAGGTATAGCGCTGAGAAGTAGAAGGAGTTCGTAGGGGAAGGGGTAGCGTGGAGATGAAGAGGGAACCCCACTCATTCTGTGCTTCGGGCAAAATATGGGAAACTGTTGTCGAATTTTGCGTATTTATAGGTGTCAGGCAACATTTGTTGAATATCTGCGCTGCAAAGTCTCGTGTGATGTAATAGAACAGAGATATCTCTCGGGAGCCAATAAGGTAAACGCTGATTAATAATTGGCCAGTATGATACACCAATCAGAAACAGTTGCAAGATTTCTCAAGCCACTAAAGCCTGCCAAAGTATGTTCTAACCCCACTCAACAAACTTATTAAAAAATTATCAAAGTGATATTCTTAATAAAATTTAGCTTAGTTAATCGAAGTACTTTTTAAGCTAAGTTGCCACAGTTAATCGAAAAATGAGACTATTATTTATACCAAGTGGTATAAGTACCCAACTTCGTTATTGAAATCGGTCTTCAACACCACATATAGGCTTATTGAAATCGTAATTATCACGTATTTATTCAAATTTAATACTATTTCTTTGAGAAAAAATAAACTTACACTTGATGGCAAAATGAAATGAGGAACAAGATAAATTTCCAAATATCATTTTTAAAAATTACGCTTTAAATTTTCCCTTTTTACAACCGTTGCATGATTTTGTTTTATAAATAAATGGAAAACTGCTTCCCTCAATTAATGTTTGGTTGTGGGTAGGGTGATCTGTGCTCCAATCTATTCTTGTTTTGAATACTTTTCATTCTCATTGCTTAATTGCTTTAAAGAAGGCTAAAACTTCATAAGAATAATGATTTCATGGGTGTATTTTCATTACTGAGTGACAGTAAATCGAATGAATCGTACTTCATCTGAGATCCAGAATTTTCAACTCAATTGATTTGTTAATTTGACGCTCAATTCGACTTGATCCTTCATTTCATTATCTAATTAATAGCGGAAAAAATAAATTTTTTTGTTTTTTTCACATATATTAATTATCAGTTCAAGCAAAACGAACATAGACGTCTAAGAATCCCTTGAATAAAGTTCTTGAACCTAAATTTGATGACTGGACTTGGCAAAATAGTTTCTTGAACCCCGAAATAGCCATAGGCTTAGGATTAAGAGACAAAATGAATACATCATTCGAAGCCTGTAAATATTCTCACAAAAGCTTCAAAGTCTTCGATCAATACTAGCATTGGTAAAGAACAAACTGCTCTACTTGTCTGGAGCGCAATGATCGTTCCCCAACACAACACTGCTAAACTTGAGATGCCTAATGACCGGGAATTAAATACCGGCCTAATTAATTTAAAGTTGAAAGTCTGGCAAGTGGCAAATCGAGTCTTTGAATTAGTAATAAAATTGGTTTTGGCCCAAAAATGCTAACAAAGAGACGACATGGAATGAGTCCACTGTAATATGAAAAAATAAAATAAATAAAATGTGGACACAAAGACACAATTCAAACAAAATATTCCCTTATTAACTTGATGATAGGTAGTTTCAATCAATTTCACCATGAAGATGTGACTCAAATTTTGACTCTATTTTTTGGGGGTCATTCCCTGAGATCACCATTTTAATAAATAATTGTAAATATTGCTCTTTTTAATTAAACAAAGCTAATACACTTCATCTATTAATTCATACGTTATAATGAATGCAATCGTAGGCTGACTTTTTATTTTATAAACTCTATTAAATGACAAACTTACCACCTCTTGGTGCACACTGGGCAATGTATAACCATACGGCAAAAAAGTCTGCAAACCGGCAGTTGACTTCTCATTTCAAACTACCATGACTTCCCACTGTATGTGATATTCGAGCCCTTTCACAGCACTCATCTTACCTTTACTCTGCCTTTATGTCCGTCTGTTACTTTCACATCTGTGGATAACTCTTCTGTTCCCCCTCTCTACTTTTTCTCACTTGGGGTCTGGGATAGACTTAC